AAACACAGAAAAATTGCGAGGCTCAAGCGGATAGCAACCGGATAGCTCTGAGCGGGGGATAAAAACAATCTGGTGGCGAAAAGCGCCTGCGACCATGCCTTAAGTGAGGACCACGAAAATATGGAAAGGGGTATGTCACCACATGGGCATCCCTGTAAATCCGTGAGTTGCCTGCGTTTCGAGCGGTTCGCGGATAGGCCGTGTGTCTCCGAGATAGGTGCTCTTAGGGTGTAATGTATAACCTCTCTGGACTTTGACCACAGCTATCCGGGGTTCATATCCGGGTAGGAGCTTGATTGTGTGCGGTGGCAAGCATAGACAGTAGCGATGTCGCCAGATGTCGTATGTGGCTTTGAGAAAGCGTGTGAGATGTTGTGTCCGGATTTGTGAGATATAGCTGCTCTTATGGTGTAATGGTTAGCACTCTGGACTCTGAATCCAGCGATCCGGGTTCAAATCCCGGTAGGACCTCGTTTTGCACCGCTTCTACCGGCCCTACAACGCCCCAGTTGTTGCTGCGTTGCGCACCTGCCACACGCTACAGCCGCGTCACGTTGTGTTGCCGTGGTGTGTTATATCGTGTCCCGGCGATCCGCTGCCGATTTAAGTGGTAGCTGCTGCTCTGGCAGAGCTCACCAAGCCTAACTGCCGACTTCGCTGACTGCACTACCAATTCTCCAAGACAGCCAGAGGGTTCATCGCAGCCTTCCGCGAGAACAATAGATCCCGTGGGTATCCATAACACGAAGAAATGCGACGTCAAAGCGAGTAGCAACCGGATGGCTCGAGGCGGGGATTGAAGCAAGCCTGGTGGCGAAAGAAGCATGCGAGCATGGCCGTACGTGTAGGAGCACGATGATATGTGAAAGGGGTATGTGCAGCACATGTGGCATGTCCGTGAATACGTGAATTGCGTGCGATTCGAGCGGGTTGCGGATTGGGCGTGGTGTGTCTGAGCTAGGTGCTCTTATGGTGTAATGGTTAGCACTCTGGACTCTGAATCCAGCGATCCGGGTTCAAATCCCGGTAGGAGCTTGATTTTGTGCAGCGTTGCAAGCATAGTATGTAGCGATGGCGCCAGCTGTCGTGTGGGGCTTTAGGAAAGCCTTTGAAATTTTGTTTGCGGATTGGTGAGTTAGTGCTGGTCTTATGGTGTAATGGTTAGCACTCTGGACTCTGAATCACCAAAGGCGCCGGCACCAAGGAGAAACAGTTGAACAAGGCGCTGGGCGGCAAGACGGCCACAGAGCGCGGTTTCATCGCCAAGCGCTACAAGGAGCTGCACAACCAGAGCCTGCGCGACCTGGTGGACGAGGAGACGTCGGGCCACTACGAGTTCCTGCTCAAGCTGCTGGCATCGCCCCTCCCGGAGGCTGAGGCTGGCATCCTGCGCAAGGCCACCAAGGGTCTGGGCACAAAGGAGGACCTGATCCACCCCGTGGTCGTAGGCCGTACGAACGCGGAGATTAACATCCTCAAGAAGACATACTACGAGACGTACGGCGAGGACCTGGGCTCTGTGCTGGACAGCGACCTGCACGGCGACTTCAAGAAGGTTATCCTGGCGTCGCTGCAGGCCGCGCTGGTGCCGTACGACGCCAACATTCACAACACCGCCAAGGTGGAAGCTGACGTGGAAAAGCTGTACAAGACTGGTCGTGGCAAGATGGGCACGGACGAGGAGGGCTTCGTCGGTGTCCTAGCGGCCAGTCCGCCCGAGCACCTGCGCGCTGTGGCCGCTGCGTACGAGAAGAAGTACGAGGAGTCGCTCGTGAAGGCTGCGGCCCACGAGTTCAGAGGCGACTCTGAGAAGGCCGTGCTGTTCCTCATCCGTATGATCACGGAGCCGCTGGATCTGCTGGCTGAGCTGTTCGAGGAGTCCGACGACGGGACTTTCCAGAGCGAGGACTTCCTCCATCGGATACCGTAGCTTGAGGTGAGCTTGAGTGCAAAAGGGTACTGATAGCCTCGTGTCTATCCTCGCCGGGGAGTGGACAAGCGTACGGTTGAGGCGGATGCGGCGCCGGTGCACGATGACGAGGACCTGCAGCAGTGGGAGACTTGGGGTTGGCATAGCGCCGAAGCCGCTGAGACGAGGTCAAGTTTGCCAAAGGGTACGGTGAAGCTGAGCAAGAGTCGGCTCAGTCCTGGGTTGTTACCGCCGCTGAGCTGACTGGAGCCGCAGCCGAGTCTGCTCAATGAAGTCGCCGAAGAAAGCTTGACTAGCTGAGGGAACTACACTAGGACCAATAATGGAACTCGCCACGGGGCATTCGGGAGATGGACATTCAATCCCACGCGCGATTTCCCCCGGGGGGGTGTTGGAGAACTCTCGAGAAAGAGGAGATTCCCAGAACCCGAACCACAACGGGGGCTTGAGAGAGAAAATTTCGAGGGATTCAACCCCCGGGAATTGCAAGGCCCCCCCCAGCCACCAGCAGCAGCCATGTGAGGATCGTGCATCGGAATAATACCATTCCGACGGATGAGCCGCTTCTGTCGCAAGATCACAGCCCGCTGCTCAGCGATCACCGACTGAGCGTGCCGCAAGGGTTGAGTACCGGTGGAACTGTACAACCGCACCGACTCCTGCAGCTGTTCGAAGTGCTTGGAAGCAATACCCTGAAGAGTGATGAACGCCGCATCCCTCTCAGAAATGGATCGGAGAAGGACGTCGATCTCGGCGTCCCGATCCAAGACTTGCTGATGGTGGAGCTGGGCCTGACCCAACGCAGCGTCAACCTTGCTCTGCTCAGCTGCGATGGCCCGAGCAAGTTTTGCCTCACTCAGAGCTACAGCCTTTTGCAGTGACGCGAGGAGATTAGCCGATTGCGTGGCAGCAGCCTCCAATCGAGACACTTGCTGTTGAGCCGACGAGAGCTGAGTTGACAAGTCGACATTGCTGAGAGCAATCTTTTGTATATAGACGAGTCAGTGCGCGGTTCTCCTCCTGAGCAGCTTGATTGTCAGCTTGGAGATCGCCGATGATCTTTGGATAATCAAGAGCGGCGTAGTTGCCTTTCAAGATATCCAACAGTTCCCCCGCGGAAGCAGCATGCAAAATCGCTCGCGCTGCACGGGATCGGAGGGCTCCACGGAACGAGTAAATCCGTAAGCCATGACCTCGCCAAAACGGTCAATTCTTCTCGGCGATCATGCCCTTGCTCGTTAATTCTGGCCATGAGGAGTCAAGACTCACTGGAGCAGCCGAGCTTGGCTGATTGGTGGCGCCCGAAGTGGTGTCGCCCGGCAAGCTCGGTGGACCAGGAAGGCGCACGCGAGAAGACTCTGCCGACTCCGCGTCAGACTCATGGGAAGTTGTCAGGTCAACCAGCCCAGCTTCATGCCGGTCGCTGACCCCACGAGTACCGACGGGTCGAGGAATCGACTCAGCTGGCACGCCTTCACCTCGACGAGGAGTTGGAGAAGAAGGATGGTGCCACGGGTTGTGCTGGAACAACATGCGAAGAGTAAGGAGCAGCCAAGTGAGTGACAGCGGAAGCAACGAACGTACCAAAGAAGGTGGTGGGGAGCCGCGAGACGTCATCAGCCGAGTACGGACCAACGGTGGCAGAACAAAATGAAGGATTAAGACACTCACCAGCTCGGCTCGTATCATAACCGGGGCAGTTGTGGTGTAGGGATTTCCAGATTCGACCATACGCCGACCTACTTTAGGTCAAGAATCGGCTCGGTCTGATAACCCAGAGCTTAGGAGCCAAGGATCACGGTAAGTACTCGGCGATCTGTCCGGATATGCTATCCGAACAGCCGCTGA